CACCACCGCCATCAACGTCCACCACCACCCTTCACAACCACCCTCCACCACCACCACAATCGTCCATAGACCACCACCGTACACTACCACTATTAATTTATATAGCAGTCTACAGACATTAAAAAACAAACAGTCTTCTTCTTGCAGACCGCAGACCTTCGGTCCACCACTTCTCCTGCAGATATCTACAGTAGTGGTCCGCAGAATGCAGACCTTTTCCTGCAGAAAAAACAAACATCCCCTAAGTGACAGCTAAGTACTACTATGTGTTGGAATTTTTGACAATCGATATCAATATGCTTCATGCGCTCATGAAAAACAGGATTGACAGCAATGAATAGAGCGGACTTATTATCACAAAACAAACGTGATGTCGTCGGTGGAGTAACGCCGAGCGCCCCAAGGAGACCCCAAATCCATCGAACTTCTGCACAAGCATTAGCCATAGCACGGTATTCAGCCTCCGCTGAAGATCGGAACACGGTGGTTTGCTTCTTTGTCTTCCAAGAGACCGGGGAACCACCTATAATAATGAAATAGCCGCTAACAGAACGACGAGTGAGAGGACAAGAAGTCCAGTCGGAATCACTATAAGCTGATAACTGTATTGAGCTGTCACTATGCAATAGAATGCCCTGATCTGGATGACCCTTTAAGTAACGAAGGACCCGTTTGGCAGCTTCCATATGATCAAGTCGTGGTGCATGCATAAATTGGGATAGAACATCAACAGAATAAGTGAGATCTGGACGAGTGATAATAAGGTAGATCAAGCGACCCACAAGTCACCGATACTGGGCTGGGTCTCGTAGCTCAGCACTAGTCGACCGACCCAGTCCGTGTAGAATTTTGTGAAAGACTGAATGATTTCCATTGAATATTCACAACGTATATATACATGTAAGTTTCCTAATACAACTATGGAAAGAATTACTTACAAGGAAATAAATACATACATGGAAGTAAATAAATATATATATGTGCTATTTATGCTATATATATGTGCTATTTATGCTAACAATTGCAAAAAGAAAAATATACAACCTTAGGAGAAATTATCATTTCTAGAACAATACTCCCTCTTCGGTCTGGGAAAGAACTTTCCCTATTTTGACTTTTGGTCATTTTTATTCTTTTTTTTTCATTTAGAAATTAATTGATTTCGGAGAATATAATTAAATACTTCCTAATTTATTGCTATATTTTATATTGATCATTTTTTCATCCAAAACTTTAACCAACAATATATTTTGTATAATAAGAGACGAGTTAAGTGAATTAAAAGTAGTAGTAAAATGTGTACTAAATAGAATTAAAATATTTTTCTTTTCCTTATGTTGTACCAAAAACTTTTTATTTTCGAAATATTACTGAACAATGTCTAGTGGCGGTAGACATTAAGTTGAACAATGTCCACTGGCCATTGAACAATGGTGTTACATTGGAAAAAGTAAAACATATGGTATTACATTAGAAAACTCACAATATTTTAGTACTCCCTCCGTCCTAAAACTTTCTTCCCAGAGCACTATTCCAACTTCACGAGAATTTATATTTATTTGTGTTTTTTCATGGCCTATATGATAAAATAAAATATTCTTGTCGCCAATTGTTTTGTTGAACTTTTGATGTAGTTTTTAAATATGTATGTTTTATTTTTTTATTTCTATACCAATATTTAAATAAAATAGATTGAAAAAACTTGGAATTTTTCTTCATTTTGCGCAACAGGAAGAAAGATATAGGACGGAGGGAGTACTATGTAAGTAAATCCTCAAAATATAAAGTATATTACTCCATGTTTCAAAATACTACTCCCTCCGTTCCGGAGTATTCGTCCAGTTTTGACTTTTGGAACTGTTCATCTAAACACTTTGACTCATCATTTTCTCTCAATGTGTAAGCCTAAATATAGTCATGTGTGATCTTGTTTGATTTGTCTTAATATATAGATTATTAATATATAATTTCTATATTTTTTTAATATACAAATTACAAGATAAAATGGATTAAAGAAGTGCATTGGATGGTGTGTAAAAATGAAAGTGGACAAATACTCTGTGACAGAAGTAGTAATTCATTTTTTTCCGAGTTGTTTTTATCATAAAGTGAAATACAGTTAGTTCTCCGTCGAGGGCAATTAAAAAAATGCCACTAAACTATTCTGTATTACTCACTCCGTCCCGGACTATTCGTCCAGTTTTGACTTTTAAAACATTTCATCTAAGCACTTTGACTCATCAAATTCTCTCAATGTGTAAGCCTAAATATAGTCATGTGTGATCTTGTTTGATTTGACTTAACATATAGATTATTAATATATAATTTCTATAATTTTTTAATATACAAATTACAAGATAAAATGGATTAAAGAAGTGTATTAGATAATGTGTAAAAATAAAAGTAGACAAATACTCTGGGAGGAAGGTAGTAACCATTACATTTTTTCAAAGGTGTCACTGTATTTCTTTTTATACTATACAGTCACTTAACTTTTAATTACCTGCAAAAAATGCACATGTTTTGCCTTGTAACATGTTAGTGCAGGTTAAAACAAAAAGAAAATTAACAAATGCAACTAAACTCTTTTTTGGTAAAAGTGCAACTCTTTGCTTTTTATTTTAAAAATTTCACCAATCAATTTTTTTTAAATAATTCTATTGACTACC